AACAGAGAATTCTTCGTGGACGATAAACGATAAAAGCAATTTAAAAACCATGTCTTCACCCGAGAGCACGTGGTTTTGACAGAATGCCTGCATTATTTAAGGTGCTTGATTCTTACAACATTCTTATGAACATTGTATAGAATGCATCAATTAATTAGGGTACTAAGTCACAATAATTTGTAATAGACATTTGACAGAATGCGCGAATTCGTTTGATATGCAGTTCCACCAGTAAGTTACATTTAGTTATCCTTTCTTGTTCGCTGTTCAAGGCCATGAAATCAGATAGAGCAAGCAATTGAATTTTTTTTCGAAAGACAATTCGATAAACGCATTGCTATATTATCTGAGTATGTAGTGCATCAGTCATAATGTTCCGTCTCTCATTTCAACATTTTGGGGTCTGGCTGAAAAACATATGATCAATACCAATACCAGAGAGATGTGTGATCAGGTATTCTGTCTGATGTCTATTTGAATACTTATTTCTTTTGAAAATTCAGATAGCCTCCTTCTGGATACTTTTGGAACTTTTGAGGTAAAACATGAATAATTAAATTAAGAAAGAAAACAATACAATTGACCCCGGGATCAAATATTATATATACAAGTAGCTTATGGCAGTAGATGACTTAAATACCTCATGTAGAGCGAATCAGTGCTTTGCAAAGCAATGTATGCTAACCAGTGCAGTAGACTTGTACATGTATTCAATATTGCTATAGGTTCATCTTGAGTGAATATCGATACATTCCTAGAGGTTCTAACCTATTTGAATACTTCTACCATTCATTACCGAAGATTCCAGCTGTGTTGTGGGTACTTGTCACACTCAAATTCCCGGGAGTTTCTGGTTCCGGCCTACGTGGGCACAGCAGTACTAGTAACTGGTACTCACCATTCCTGGATGTTCTAAGCTATTCGAATAATGAAACTAACAATGCCCGGATGTTCTGACCTATTGGAACACTGGTAGTCTCCATTCTCGGATAGGTGGCTTATTCTAACCATTTTAATTTGTACTCACCATACCCGGATGTTCTGGCCTATTTGAATACTCGTACTCACCATTCCTGGAGTTTCCTGCCCATCTAAGTACGTGTACCCTGGTATCGAGTACCGGGGAGACCTATGTCGATATCGAGACATCAGAGAACAGTCCTCTTAAGTCACGGAAAGCTTTCTCACGCCTATATCCAAAAAATGTCAGGAACTATTTCTCACGTATTTAGTGCGTATGATTCCCCATAGAGTGTCAATGCTAAATAATGTGTCTCAATGTTGGTCAACTATTGTCTATGTTATGGTACTCAATGGGTACTACAGCTTTAGTCATATCACTAAAAATATCTTTCTTCTTCAAAGCTATATTAAATCGACTATATGATTACAATATTCGTCTATCAATTAAATAACTTAAAAATGCTGATCAATTGATTTGTGTGTATAAAATGTCTAAGGTAAGCACGGACATCGAGTTGGTGGAGTATGCATTCCTTTTGGTATTTGGTGTTGTACAGGTATGAAGGTATCGGTCTAATCTCCGGAGACGAAGCGGTGACCATGTTCCGGAATTGTCACCCCGATCAACACCGCTGATATCGTATTTATGGTATAGCGATTCGCATCATCTCTCCATTATGGGACATTTAACATATCATACCTTAACACCCTAATACCACACATACATTTATAACGTCAAATTACACACACATTCATATATAATTGTTTTTATCTCGGTAGTAAACAATTGATTTTTTTTTATTTTGTTCCACAAAATCGATTAAAGTGTCATTCATGGATAAAACCAGTCTACTACTTGTATATCACTATAAATAAATTATTATATTATTGATATTCCGTCGGGGGATCGTATTTCAAAAGTGGCTACGTTTTGTGTTCTTTTTAATGTGTTATATATAAACTTGACAACTGTAGTTGGTATCGCGGTCTGCTCTGGTAACATATTGGAAATTTTGGATGTTAAGTTAAAGTTAGTTTCTAATACAGGAGCCGATAGATAGAGCTCCTCTACAATGGACTCAAAAATTCAATAATTGCATAATACATCGTTCATTGTTAATATCATGTGGTTTTGGTGAACAATGGTGAAGTTGACATGGAAATGTGATTTGTGATGAGTAAATTTGACATTTGGTCTGATCTCTGATATTGCTTTGTTTTCTATGGTTGGTGAGCATATTGCGGTATTTTCTATGATTGGTGAGTAAATCTTATATTGGTCTGATCTCTGATATTGGTTTGTTTTCTATGGTTGGCGAGTACATTTGACATTGATCCAATCTTTAATGTTGGTTTGTATTCTATGGTTGGTGAGTAAATTTGCGGTATTTTTTTATGATTTGTGAGTAAATTTACTATCGACCTGATCCTTTTTTTTTTCTCTTTGGTTGGTGAATAAAGATAATCCGGTATTGTCATCTGCGCTGCAGTCTAACAGATACCATTATTTTTTATCATCGAATGGTTAAGTCGACAAATAGAATAGTTTCATAGACTGCTCCGTGTTCTTATACTGATGTGTTTCTATGGCTGATGGGTAAGGTTGACAAATGGTCGTCTGATCTGTTTTTGGAAAATATTCTAATGCTCTATATGAACTATGGGTAATGTTGCAATTGTTATTTCCGTAATGATACACGAACATAGTAAGTCTAAGTTGTATGTCTATATTCTGCACATGCAATTTCAATAGAAGGTTTTGAACACGTGCACGCGCACAATCGATTAGTAAATACTCGAAAAAGATTGACCTGTGTCATTAACCTCACTCTGTGTTAAATCATCGGTGAAAGGCGTCTTTCATCTGCAATTTTTTGTTCATTAGAGGGAATTCTTTATCGTATATTTACCTTCACGTCTTTCGAATCAACGTCATTGACATTTAAATAAAAATTCAAGACGAAAGGTTACAAATGTTTACAAAACAACATTCGACGGAAATTATTGTTTATATAGCCCGATTCATTTGTTTGTGTTATATTATTTTAGCAATTGAAGGTCCGGGTCTTTATGATTTAACCCAAGATAACACCGATTATTTAGTTTTACGCCTTTAACCAAGAGAAAGAAGAGCGAAGGTAAGTCCTTAGATGCGTTTTATGGAACTCTTTTGAAACTTGCGTATGATACGTTACCTGTAACATCTCATATGGCTTTAAGAAGTAAATAGTTTACGCCACTGACCAGCTTCGTCCCCGTCACATGCTCAGTAGGACAAACAGGTGTGCTAGTGTTACCTGCTAATCACAAAGGTAAACTGTTATATCGGTATACACTTCAGCCTGTCCCCCTGTCGAGCTTACGCGGTACAATTTGTCAGGTAGGTACTCCAACAAAATCATGTCAACATTAAACATCTCGAAGTGATTTAAATCCTGGTTATTGCTCTCTCACCTGTATTTCAGGTTTTAAACTATGTATCAAGTATGTTTATATATGAATGATGCAATCTATTATATCAGTGACCATGTATACGAATAAGCGATCTAATCGTTTTGGTATGCTGTGAAGAACTTGAGCAGGGCTTAACAAGAAGTAACGTAATACATATACGAATCCAATACGATTAGAATGCGACCACAGTAATCCAGACGGTCTAAAACTTAATGATAAAATTTCGCTACTCAGTTTTTCAATTACATGTCAACGCATACATATTACTGCGTAATTTGATATGCTTAAAAGTTAGGCAGTTGTTAAATTGTCTACCACATACAGCCCGAAAAAAATGTTCAGAGAAAGTTTAAACGAAAGTCGTTACAATGTCAATCAAAACTTGAAAGGCAGTGCGGCAACTTGATATCTTTAGTATTCGTACTTTCTATGATAATTAGTACATTTTTTCTTAAACAACAAGTGCAACTTATAATTATTGGCTCCAGGACAGGGTTCAGTGAATAGAATCGAATAGATTTTTAAATGTATTTTTTATCTATCTTTACGTTAATTTGGAGCCCAGTATATGAACCCATTGTATTGCTCAATACGGTTAAACAAACTACAAGTATGTCATTTTAGGTTATGTTTTGTTTATTTTGTGCTATTTTGCCGTAATTGCTGTTCGTTCCAAGACAATACTCCCGGTAAACTTTAAACGACAATGCTCGGCTTGACAAGGGTATATGAAACAAAATTCCTTTATTATAGCGATCGGCTTTGTAGCGCTCCCGTTGACCCGTGTGTTCCAAAACAAAAGGAAATGTTCGTCTGAAACATTGCCTACATGACAGGTATCATATTTTCCCGTTTCATTGTGTTTGTGTTATGATCCGCGGTTTATTCGTGTTATAATGTGACTCAAAGCTATCTGTATTTGAATATTTAATATTTTGCCTTGCAATTCAAATATACGCTGTATCAGCACACATAAAAAATGTTACTGGCCAGGATGTATACAATGTAGTGTAATATTATTCCCGTGCAATGATCGCGGGAATAGAGATCGATTTATTGGCGCTCATGTAAAGAGATTTCACTCCACCTATCAATATTTTATATCTATCGCAGTAGGCTTATATCCCCCGTAAACTCTTATGTGTTGTTATACTGCAATTCGCGAGGTCTCGGCACCTGTCAGGGACGTAAATGGCTGGACCGACAGCCTGTCACGAGACTGGCGAGGAGGGAAGCATAACTAATTGACTTTCTCATCACCTGGTCGACCTATCATCACATACCTATATAACCCACATACATGTATACAAACAATTCCGTTCTCAGGGCATGACCTGACTTCCGTAACCAGAATAGATCAATGATCACTTTTCTTAAGAAATCGATCGATGTCTCTGAGCAGAGAAACTGGATGATTAACATGATGGCACTTTTTTGCAATGGTCCTTTTTTCCGCTAGTCTCCGCTACCAGGGTAGCCTAACGTTTGTATATTAATTAATAATATAGCTACCTGCAAAGCACAATCGTACATATAAACAAAGCTGAGCCATGAAGTAAAACACGACTGAAAACAATACTTACCCGATCTAGACCATTATTTCTTGCATTTTTATCCGATAAGTCTTCCAATATCAATGATTCCATTCTTCTTCTTCTTAAGTGGTTCCTTCTTGAACTTGCAGCTGATTAATATGGACGCATATTTTGCTAAATTCCAGGAAAACGGTTACACGTAAACAGCACTCCCTTCAATACAGAGTTCAACGTTGGCTGTTGAAATCCAAAAATACAGAACAATTCATGCAACGTACCACGTCTTCACGTTTGAGGACGCATACATCGCAAGATATGGGGCTTCCAAAGGTTTCTTAACTCCAGTTCGTCAATGAATCCCAAACGTAGAAAGATATTAAATACAGATCTTATTAGAAACAATTTGGCTGTCGAGGCGCTTACGTGCATTAACAATCCCGGGTAAAACTGACAATGGAATGTCCAATGGTTAATTGAAGGTAATTACAATTGTAGAAACTACATTACTATTTCAACACGTACTGTGTGTATATATACGTACGTACGGTAAGGTGGGTTAAATCTGTGTGTAATCTAGGGACGGTTGTAGGTGCCCGTAATTGTGTATTGATTTTACAGGTATACACATTATGGAATCATGCCAGACCTACCCCAGGAACAATAAGTCCCCTTAAGGGCGCCAAAATGCTGACAAAATTTCAAAGTATCTATATTATAAGTCGTCACAAACTCACTCCGCTGGGGTCTGGAGCCACGCATGGAGAGGGTGTGTCCGAGGATTGCCCATGTCGGACCCGGATGTTGCCACATCCTGGAGATATGCCAGCGTTTGACAATCATGATATATTTAACTGTACTTTTAGGTACGTGTAACAACAGTCCATAGTGCCAACTCCTGTTGCACAGAGCTGCATTGCCTGCCACAATCAGCACAAACGTATGTTATATTGACAAATGGCTCAATAAACAATCTTTGAGTGCATATATGCTCCAAGTCTCTAACACTAGGAAACGGGTAGTTCTACAATTCTGTTTTGGTAATTAAACTATTTGTGAATATATGAATGCATGTATACATAATTATTTCGATACTACTAGCTGTGAATAGGAATTTCTATAATACGAAATTTCATTTTCGTAATTTAAAAAATTGTGAATATAAAAATAATAGAATAATAAGTAATACTACATTTTATTTAAGTGTCAGTTATTAATCTACATATAAAAACAAGTAAAATGTACATTAAAACTAGATCAATATCCAGCCACAGTTAATCTATGTAGGTGTATGATACCTCCTTTGATAAATGTATATCTACCTTTGCCAAGTGCTCGCTCTAGTCGACATTTTCGCACGAGTATATGCTTAATTCGATTTTACAGTAAGTTTATTATATTGAGAAAATTTTAAGAAATGATTTGAAGAGAAAGAAATAAAGAATTCCGTATCATCCAGGTTCCTAATGGTCATGTAAGTTTGCATCAAAGTCTTGCTGTTAACATGTCATTTGAGCATTGTCTATGTTTGCAGGTTTGGTTTGGTTTCAACAGCTATGGTCATTTAAGGACGGCCTCCCATGTGTGCAAGATGCGTGTGTGTAGTGTATGCGTGTGTGTTTTGGGAGGCTGCGATACGTTCGTGTTTGTCTCCTTGTGATAGCGCGGAACTGATGCCGACTTTATAGTGCTACCTCACTGAAACATACTGCCGAAGTCCCCCAGCAGGACACCCCACCCGGTCACATTATACTGACGACGGGCGAACCAGTCGTCCCACTCCTAAATTGCTGAGCGTTAAGAAGGAGTAGAAACTACCATTTTTACAGACTCTGGTATGTCTCGGCCAGGGGACAGAACCCAAAGCCTTCCTCACAGGAGCGAACGCTTGACAACTAAAGGCCAAAAGTGAGGTATTGTCAAGGGAGACATTAGGAAGAAGAAAGTTGTTTAGAAAGAAGAGAAAAAATAAGATCCCAAATTTAGTCGCCTCTTACGATCATACAACGGGGGCAGCAGGTACAATTCTTACGCCCTACCTGCAGGAACATGTTTCCAGGTACACATACAGATATGATGCATTAACACTACATCTGCTACTCAATATACATGTATACAAGGTACTTTAAATGTTTAACAGCTCATTGAAAAACAGTTATATGATTGTTGAGATAAAAAAAAATAGTAGTATGATTTGTTTGTGAGTTGTTTAACGTCATCGCAACAGCCGGAAACACGGAGGAAAAAAAACCAATTCTGCAGGAGAATCCCACATTAATCGCTTCTTACGACATGCATGTGATACGAATTTTATAAAAACTTGTATGAATAAGTACACTTAAGGAACAAACTTAAACAAACACATCAGAATGATCATGAGGCTTTCATTCTATAGATCTACTAAATGTACTTGAAGATCTTGTGCAGTTTACGGTTTCAGCAAAAATAAAACGTCATCTATTGTCAGTTTTACTATTTTTGAATGTTTTTCTACAATAATAATACATTTACCATAAATCAGTTCCAACACTTTCAAACTGATTGCGGTACAAATGAAAAGCCGAATGATGACGTATAAGGAATTATTTCAATGTCATGATTTCTGGAACTTCGGTAAAATGTAAAATCACGCTCAGTTATGATAAAAATAGGTATTACCCATAATTTGGATTAAAGCACGAGATTGAAAGTACGATAATCTGCCTATTCTTCTTCCTTCTTCATATACATTCCACTCACGATTTGTACAAATATAAACATGTGTTTCCTTATCCTTGTGGGATGAGATGGCTATTTCATAGTATGTTGTCTATTCAGCGTAAATATTTGACCAAAACCCTGAGCGACATTTAAACTGACATAGTGCTATCTCTCTGTAGATTGATAGGAGCTGTAAGCAGTTCATCAGACAATCTACAGGTTCTACAAGGCCTAGTGGTTACTTGTATACAATGAATAAATGGTTAATGTTAGGAGATATAAAAGAAAACAAACAACAATATAAACAGATTAATCATTTACGACCCATCAACACAATTGTTATCATACCAGGTCAAACGGTGCACAACCGCACATACACAATTGAACCAATTTGTGTTCAAATACCAATGTATTTTAAATCATAAAGCGATACTTAAATATCATTGAAACGTTTTCAGAGAATCAACAAGATACAAATGACATCCGGACACTTCATTCGTGAGCATGATGAAAACAAAGTTTGACAGTGAATACTTTCTCACTAGTTTCAAAGAGGTCTTGGTATGTCTTAGCAAGACCAACATCTTGTTGGTAGACGGCAAGCAATGGTTACACGTGGCTATTTACATTGACAGTCTAAATTCTGAATAGGTGCGCCGTGATTCCGCATTTTTAGTATTTTTTCGACCTTTACCAATAATTACGATGACTTGTTTATCACAATCATACGTTAGTGACGGAATACAAAATAAATATTTGATTAAAATTTGTTTACATGTCTGGTTTTGGGCATCCTCGATACTCCAGTGGTTACGCTCACTTCGCTCTCTACACCCCTGGAATATGTCATGGCAAAATTAAAGGCTCAGTGTGCGCCACCTTGTTGATGAGACATCTCGCAGTCATGTAACGGTAAAAAATGACAGGCTTTGAAGTCGGGCGTCTCTCCTCTGTAATTTTCAAATGACAGGTATCAGCCAAGCGATTTTTTTTACCCGAGACCCACCAAACAGCTATCTTTGTGCCTTCAATTTTGCTATGACATATTCCAGGAGTGCAGAGAGCGAAAGTGAGTGTAACCCCTGGATACCGAGGATTGGTTTTTGGTTGTATCACATTTTTAATATATATTTGTAAAAAAAAAACTTTGAAAAAACTGTTTTGTTGTAGGCATTATTTATAATTTTCAAATGACGTATTTTGCCTGTAGATAAAAAGAACATGCTCTTGAGAGGGTAGATTTCCTTGAAGAGTATTATCATGTGTCTTTTATCCGCAACTAAAGCATCGATAACGTCTATATATGTTGTATATTGCAAGAGGCATTCATGAACCAAGATGTGTTACACATTGGCGCTGCTGAGAAATCACACATAGTTAAGATTTGGTATGACAGAATACAAAGAACATTATTAAAAGATAAAACATTTATGACTCATCAACACAACACACTTACAGTTCCAGGTCAAACGGTCCATGACACAGTTTTCACAGAATCAATATGATGCAAACTGTAGGATTGACCTCGGATTCAAACACAGTAACCAACTAAATCATCGCCGCTTCACATGTGTTCTTTTATTCAATAGTACGCATGCTCAACATATGACGTCACAACTCAATATACAAAGGAACTTGATGCAATACTAAACAATATAAAACACAAAACAAACGACATCCGGACACTTCATTCGTACGGAAATATGGACTATTACTTTTACCGTGCCACAATCTGTCGAAAAACTGTGGTTAAAATTGCAGTCATAAAATTCCATAAATACTCTAACTATTTTGGTTTGAAAAGATTGAAAATTCGAATGAGTTATATATATGTCAAGTATAAGCGTGTGACGCCTTTTCCCGACTGCTACTTAACTCACTATCTCCCTTAAAGCAAGGCTGGGATCATGTTTTCTCGAATTCACGAGATGTCACGAGAGCAGAATCCCGTGGATAGCTACTATGTCTTCGACTAGATCAGGGGTAATGTTTACATGATAAACGTGCTGAGTGTTACTCTTAGGCGATTCAGTTATCATCTGTGAAGTAAAAGTCTCGCAATTCTTAATGGTGCACAAACACTTTTCCTCCTTAAGCGCATTCCATTGGTCGAAGGCTTCATCGCTGTTTACTTTCGATTTGTTCTGTGTTGATCAGCGTCCAGCTTTCACTTCTGTCTGCCTGCTTTGTAGACCACGTGACATTGACATTGACATCGCAAAAACATTGTCCGTGCTTAACATTATGCACATATATAAAGTCATAAAGAATCTTTACGGCACGCAAGAAAATTTGATAAAATTTCTCTCTTTTTTATATCTTTGACACGATTCACTTCCTTAGTGTGGTATTACCGGAAATTTAATAACATTTGTTATGTAAGAAAAATTTGAAATGTCAGATTGATTTATACTGTTGATCAGAAAAAAGAGCTAACATTGGCGGCACGGTACGTTTAGGTACAGTGAAAATAACTACGATTAATTGGGAGCTACTAGGAACTACGATCATTAACGAGATAGAAAGTACAACCGCAATAAGAAATTGCTCCTATCAGGACACGAATGGGCAGCTATGACAATGTGTAGTCATACGAAACTTTGGCTAAGGATGATTGACTCTTAATTTCCTGATTTCATTGTTTATATTCACACTGTTGGGTTATGAATATGAATTATGAATTAATACCACCGGAGAATCAAATGCGAAAAAACTATCGTATATAAACAGTTCATCAAGAACTCTCTTCACTTCATCATGCTTCATGTAAATGCATTTAACTCATTCACACCTGAATTTCATAATGAACTATTCCAGCATTTGAGAATTGGAGGAGATCAAATGTGTCTTCGGGCGAATGAGATAAAGCAGTAATTTCAAGCAGCATAGATACAATTGTTACCCGTGTATTTTCTGTACACATCGAAACACAGGTAATATGACAGGCTACCTATCTTGAAGTAAAATTATCTTATATCCCTGACCAGAAATCCAACACCATTGTGTCTATAAGGGGTTAAAATAAATCTCGAGCCAAATAACATTTTTGCACCAGGAATATTGATACAATCGTTCCGTCAGCAGAAGACAATG